ATGTCAAGGGTAATATTTTAATATTTTTTAAGTTTAATAAAAATAGATTAAAAATTATCTTAAATTGCACAATATTAAGTACAAAACAAGTTTTTAGTCTTCAATTAACCATATTTTTTATGTTTAATTTAATTTCATGGTAAAGTAGACCCCAGATATTTACACTTACCAAAAAGTAGACCAATTATAGCCATTCATAAAATTTAGCTAATTACTGTATTGTAAATGCTTTTAAAGGAAAAAAATGCTGTTGATTTAATCATATATGGACAAAAATTAGACTTAATAAGGGAGTATGGCGTGAGCAAAAACGTATACAACATTAACTTGGCTTTACTTGTGTCCCTTCAAACTTAACCAGTTTCTGCGTCTTCAGCCGCACACTACTTCAGACCTTTGACCCCACCTTTAGCAGCTGTTTTCATAGAAAAGTGACTCATATTATGTTTTTGTTTCTCAAAATAGATTATTATGTAATTTCCAAGTACATGACACAAAACATATTAAACTTAACAAGTCAAATAAATAAAATTATATATTTTTAAAGGTAGTATGTAATGATTTAAAACGCAATTTTTAGTATAATTAGTCTACTTTTGGCCTTTCACTAAAATGTGTCTACACTGTTGAAAGTTAAAAAAGTAACTTTTTTAGAAAATACAATATTTTGTGGCTTGTGAGTGCTTTCAATTTGGAGATTTTGGCCAATGGTTCTAAATGTTTGAACACCACTGTCCAGGAGTTTTGTTAGACCATGTTCTTCTATAAAAAGTGTCATCAAAAAGACACATAATGTTTGTAACCATGCAGGTGAGCATAAGGTTCTATGGTAATCTCAGTGCTTCTTAGCATTGCAAGCGTACACAATGCAGGCCACTGAGACACTTTAAGTCTTTTTTACCTAACCAGTGCTGTTACGATATTTCTTATTTAGACTGGTCCTATGGTTTTGATCTGCTCAGAGATGGGATTATAATGAAATTATGGCCTGGTTCTGACTGGGTTAAACTGGGCCGGCAACTCTAAAGAAAGTCTCCCAGGGATTTCAATATCAGTCAAGGAATAGTTTAATCTGCTTGCCACATCACGTAGAAAGGCTTTGAAGCACCGTTTCATATTTCCTAACACGTCAGGTCACATAAGACCACACTTAGCCACGCCCCCTCATACACTGATAGGCTGAGCTCCCCTTCTGCGAAAGGCGGAGTCTAGGACCCTATAAATTAATAATGACACGAGACATCGGGGCTCTTCTTCCGGGTCTGTGAACGCGTCACAGACTGTATAGAGTCCAGCGCTGTGAAATGTAATCTTTTACTGCCTCTTCTAATATAATTGATAAAACTTAATTGACGTTTCCTTGATTTATTGATTAGTATAATGCCACTTCTGAGGGAGGTCTGAGCCGGGGGTAAAGACGTGGGCTGGAGGGGGTTTCTGGATCCGGTGGCCCGCAGCCAGCTCTCGTCTTTAACGGTGCCTTAAACACTAATATTGATCGTTTTGTTGTAATTCTAATAGAGCACCAAAGAGAAAACACCAAAAAGTTTGATCTTTAATTTACATATTGTTGTCTTATGTCTCATATAATTTCTTTTTCTGTATCAACTAACAGAACAGTCAAATATGCAAATGACCAATACACATAAAACATAAAAGTCCATATTTAAAACAAACAACATAAATCCATCCATCCATTATGTTCCGCTTGTTTTGGAGTTGGGTCACGGGGGCAGCAGTTTAAACAGGGATGCCCAGACATTTCTTTCCACAGTCACCTCTTCCAGCTCTAATGGGAGGACTCCAAAGCTTTCCGAGGCCAACTGAGAGACATATGTCTTATGCATTGCAGTGTTTCCCCTCATTTACTTACCTTGGCAGGGTGCTCATATCTTCCATGATTTTTGTCGACAGAGGGGGGACGACAATGCGTCTGTGTTGTTTGCTGTTTTTGTGCGGGGGTGCAGGGACTGCTCAGCATGAGAGAGTCTGTCAAAGCGCTACCTCCATATTCATAGCTTTTTAGCTAGTGCATCTGTATTGTGCACCGCTAGCTTAGTGCTACGTCAGTGACGGCAGTTGTCGGCGGGTGGGGGGGGGGGGGTGTTCGGTAGGAAGGGGACTCGGTTCTGTTGACAGGGCGGGGCACCCTACTTGTATAATGGTAGGGGAAACACTGCATTGTAAAGCCCGGTACAGCCTGGACTGGCCACAGTAGGCCCAGCCCCAGTCTTCTCTGACTCTGGTTTTGTTTGCTTTCAGCAGAGTGCCGCATTAAGAGATGTTTCATGTTGTTGTTGTATAAATTTCTAAGACGAATACAATGATACAGGAGTCTGGGAATCCCTTTCTGATTTTTTTCTTCTTTCGGCTGCTCCCTTCTTCAGGGGTTGCCACAACGATTGTCGCACGAAGACTTGGCAATTGTTTTTATGCTGGATGCCCTTCCTGACACAACCACAGACCACAGAGCTATCACAGCCCTCTGTGTGAAGCAGAGAGCTGCTATCTAGGGTGCCTGGGGGAGCAGATGGTGGAGGTTAAAGGCCTTGCTCAAGGGCCCAGAGTATGGCAAATGACTGGGTGTTTCACCTTTCTCACCCACATTTTAATGTTGTCTGCACCGGGAGTTTAACTGGCGACCTTCCGATCACAGGCCCACCTTCTCCAACCTCTGCACCACCACTCCCCCGAATCCCTTTCTGAAATACATAGGTCTATTTTAGTTGTTGTTTTCTAATATTTTTTGGAGGAAAAAGGGCTGTCACTACTAAATTTCTCCTTTTTTTTAATTGTTTTTTATTTTTTTTATTTTATTATTGTGCAGATAACCTCCTGAGAACCTGCATCCTAATGTTGTGGACTGGTTTTAGACCAGTTGTCCTTATTCAAGGGACTAGATGTTGTTTTATTTTTCATTTTAAATAAAAATATATTTATATTTTTTAACGATTAGTTGGAAAAAAGATAGATTAAAGCAATGTTTTTATTTGTGTGTGTGTGTGTATGAGGTTCTACTAATCCTAAATAGCTAAGGGAAATTAATAAATGCAATAGAGCATAAGCTGTCCATAGTGCGCATGCTGCAGTCAATCTTCTTTTTGTGCTTGCAGAAAAACTGTTGACTACTGATAAAAACAGTAACAATGGTGGATAGCAGAGTGCAGTTTGTGCTGCACTTTTTCAATGTGTAGAAACAACTCAACCCCATCCTCGGTCAGTACAAACATTTGAGTCTTCACCATTTTTGATGTAACTGCTTTCATGCTCAAAACTGAAGTGTGCATGCGGTTGAAATGCAAAAATCACACCAGCTAGTGACCTGGTATGGAAACTACAGTGGATTCAATAAGCACAGCTTTACACATGTAAATGTTTAACTTTTCCACAATCAACACAGAGAAAATGCTAATGTTTCCAGAGATTGGTCACATGTCAACAGGACCTTAGATTGAACAGACTTTGCAACAGATAATTTCTAGATTACTTGTTGCCATTAATTTAGCATAAGTTTTTTTTATTGCTGCTTACTGATTAGTTTGAGATTAACAGTACAATTAAGAGGAGATAGAAGTCTAATGTACATGTCTTGAGTGAGTTTGTCAGCTAGTCTGGTACAAAGCCAAGCTGTTACCAGGTAGTATTGTGCCAGACAGACTAAATGTGCTGTGGCTGATTCATAAGGAGGAAAGCATAGCTGTACATTGTCTCTGAGGACCAGGTTTCTCTCCTCACCACCTCCTCTGTCTCTGGGTCCACTACTTCTGTCCCCAACCACCCCTCACTGTTTCCACCGAGTCCACACTCATTGTCACCCACCACCCTTCTTTGACTCCGAGTCCTTTCACGTTCTACCTGACACATTTACATCGTTTCCAACCTCAGTCCCAACCCTCCCTGTTAGAAAGGAAAGCCCCTCCCACCAACCGGCTCGTTGCCCAATCACAGTCAGGGGTGGAACTTCCTGCAGACAATAGGATTGCAGCTGCCTCAGAGTTGGGTAGCAACAGGGCCATCAGAGGGTGTGTGGTGGTAGCAGGTGGGGGCTGCATGTATTTAAGGAGCATTTGACACTTTGTGTGTTATATTCATCATAAATTATATTTCTGAGTTATTCTGACACATTTTTACATTGATTCTTAGATAAAGCAGTGTCGTGAAAAGTTTATCGCTCTTCAAATCCTAAAACTCATGTTGCATTTTAGTCTGCCTATTTTTCACTAAGTATTGCATGATTTTGTTGAATAATTAAATATAAAAATACTAATTTTAGGTCAACTGTTATTAAACATACTTTGATCAGAGATAAAATAATGTAATCATTGAAGGTATGAGGAAAAATGTCCATGTATGCCTGGATATAAAGTTCTAGTATATATATCCTTCTGTTACTATAAATGGACAGGACGGGAGAGGGTAGCTTGGACCAGGCTAATGTGACCGAAGGATGGGAGGCCTTTCCACAGACTTCTGTAGGTTTTTCTAGAAACGTTTTATCGTTTCAATGTAACATCCCGTTTGCAGTCTGCGTAACATTTCACTCAAAACTGAGCTTTTCTCATGTTTCATTGTGTGTATCTGCTTCAGACATAGCACCTCCCCCCGCGTGCCGCTGGCAGTAGTGCATTCCTGTTAGAGCAGGCGGGAAGGAGAGCTGGAGGAGAGAGAAGCACAGGTTCGGTCCACACACGACGGAACATGTAGTGGGAAACGGGTGACAAAACATGATTTAGAACCACCCTCGTGATGTTTCCACCTCGGGGGATTATAATGATCGGTCCTGGTTTGGAGAAAGTCCAATGCCAGAGCAGATAAAGTGAGGAAAATACACCGGAGACTGACGGAAGGACAAACCTTGCACGAGGCAACCAAAGGCTCGGAGCAAAGTTCGGGAGCTCTGGATTCTGATTTTTTGTTTACCTTGAGTCGGATCTCAGATCTGGCTGTACATTTACCTCGAAGTTAAACTTTTCTTCTGGACTGTGTTTGGTTTTGGTGATCAGAAGTATACGAGGAAACCGCGTCTCTACCGATTGGATTTAAATTTGTGTTCCACTCTCTTCCTGGATTCTGGATCCACAGGGCAATTCAGTGCGGTGTTCTGGTTCGTGAGTCAGAGGAACCAATCCACAGCAGTTACAAGTGGCGTCGGTTCGGTTGTTTACGTCTGTTTGTCAGAGACTATTTGGACTTAATTTTTCCTGGTCTGGTCCGGCACAGAGCAGGTGGACAAGACTAGGTTCTGCTGGACCGGCTCAGTCACACAGGATTTTTTTAAGTGATAACTGTACACCACCAGCCCTCCACCCGAAAAAAGACCAATGAGATTGGATCTATTTTTAGTGTTTGGGATGGGGTAAAAGCAGGCAGCAGGAAACCTGACTCTCCTTCACCTTTTCTTCTCCCTACAAACTGTTGCACTTTTTCCTGTCATGGATTGGCAGAAACCTGGTGTTTTACAAGTAGACCAGAAGAATGTAAACATTTTATCAACATATTGAGATCTTTGTCTAAACTAAACTGACCATGTAGCCTTAAGAATTCGGGACTACTAGAGGGTATATATTTCACTGCACACATAAGGTCTGCTCTAGATAAAGAAATTATGATGGATAATACATTTACTGTGTATTTTTAAATATTGCAAAAGAACACAGAGTTTTGGCCTTTGTTCTTTATTTTTTCAAACTTTTAGTGACACTAAAACACAACACAGCTATTTTGACTACCTGAAAAACATGTCACCAGCAAACTGAAGCATCCAGTCCACACAAAGAAATGCATGAAACCGTCAGTACCAATTCAGTAAAACTAAGCTAAATAATTTATTTCTTTTAGTCCCTGTATCTACAGAGAAATAGAATATATATGTATAGCAAAAGATCTATTGTGTAATTCCGCAGAAGACAAGAAATATATTTTTACTTCAGAGAGACAAGTTGCCTGCTTACCTGTTTGTTGCCTTAAATTCTAACAGAGTAAAAAAAACAAAAAACAATTGAAGCAGGAGAAGAAGGTGCCTTTTAATTGCTTAGTCAGCTTCCTACCATTTCAAGCTTCACAAATTTGTTGGATGTAAAATCTTGAAGTTAACTCTGGGAATGATAATGTTTACCTAAGCGCAACCCCACCCCAAAAGGGAAAAAATAAATCTGTCAGAGCACAGACCGTGTTTCCCACTGGACTGAACATTTACCAAATCTTCCTATGGTTGTTACATCGTCATCTGTGGAGGACAAGACTGGATCCGCCTGCAGGATGGTCCAGTCCGAGCCTTGGATCTCCTCATCACTGCTTCGTATGAACAACAAGAGTTAGTACTCACAAAAACACACAAACACACGTCGACTATAAATGACTTGTGCTGAAATGCTGTTACCAGGAAGTGCTTCCTGCTTTATGTTTTACTATTGTCAGGTTGAAATTATGCTATATTTGTGGCAGTGTGTAGAAACTCTTAGTGGGGTTAAGATATTAAAGTGGTAGTTTGCATTTAGTAGTTGTCAGTGTGTTGACAATGTGAAAATTAGTATTGTAACATGTTAAAGTGGTAGTTTGTATGTAGTTGTCTGTGTGGTGACAATGTACAAGTAAGGCCCTGTTTACACAACAAACAACTGAAGCTTTTCGGTTGCTTGTGTACACAACAACAGCCCTCGTTCTCTTTAGCCTCATTCACAAGGTGCCTCAGTCCGGAACTGACCCATGTTCTTGCCACCTCGGTTCATTCAATAGACACACGGAGGTGTGGCAAGGGGGCTCAGAGACGTCCTACCTCAATTGCGCCTCTATCTCTCTATGGAAGGTAGTAATAGGCCTCTCGACTTCTGAAAAGGTGGGTTGGCTTTGCGGCTCAAACTAAACTGAATAATGTGACGAAGTGATGATGTATGCTTTCAGCGACCACCCAGCCGCAGGATTTAAATGTCAAAACATCATAGCCGGACACATTTGGTGTGGTTTTTATTGCTTCTTCATGCATGTAGCTGAGTCGGACATCAAGGTTGATAGATAAACTAAAATTGATTTTTTTTTTTTTCAAATATTTTTTTTTTCTTACCCCCTCCTTTTCTGTGCTCATAATTACTAAACACATCACACCTTATTTTACAACACCCTCACTCAGCGTATATGAGAGTTTGGGTCAAAATATAATAATTTTAAAGGGACAATGCAGTAATTCATCATTCCTATCTGGCAACCCTGCCTAGTGTGGAAACTATCACAGATCTATGTAAACACATCCCTTTTTTATTCACCTCAATGAACATTGAAAAAAGACTAATGTTATCAGAGGTTGCTTTCATGTAAACTGAGCCTAAGTGGGGTTATAATGTTTAATTGGTAGTTCGAGTACAGTTATTGTCAGTGTAGTGACATAATTTACAAGTAAATGTTAGTTTGGTTACAGGAAAGTACAAAGTGCGGAACAACTTTCTTGTCAGTTTGAACACATTGAAAACATTATTGAAAAAAGTGCAGAACAACTCAAATTGTATAATTTAAAGGTGGCAAATTGTGCAGAACAGCTTTCTGTAGATTAGGTAGTAACATGGCAAAAAGTGCAACAAGATTATGTTTGTTTAGGTACAGGGTAGTAAAAAGTGTGAAACAGTCTCCTAATAGTTTGGTTATGGTAAAAAGTGCTAAAAATGTCCTGTTAGTTTGATGACGGTTAAAGATCAGTACAACTTCCTGTCAGTTTAGTTTCACGATGGTAAAAAAAAGTGCAAAACAAATCTCCTGTTAGTCTGGTTTCAGCATGATAAAAAGTGCAGAAGTAGACAGTTCCTGGAGACACTTTGACGCGGACTGCCACATTGCAGCCATTTAAAAAATTTTGGTTTGATAGTGCTATTGTTGTTGGACCTTTCTAGGCCGTCCCCAACAACTGTTTGATTGGAAGATGGTAAAACTTGCAGCAGAAACTTTTGTCAGTTTGGTTACATAATGGTTAAAAGTGTAGAATGAACTGGTTTGGCTATGTGTTGGTAAAAAGTGCAGATCACAAAGGGAAAGATATGTTCTTGCCAAAACCGAGAAAGTTAACCAAGGATCACTAAATCAAATTTTTTCATCACGCTTCTGGGGCCGAGATTGTGTAGAGGTAGGGCAGCCGACCTGGGACCAGAAAGTCACGGTTCGACTCCCTGCCTTGCTCACATGTCGTGGTGTCCTTGAGCAAGACACTTAATCCCTAATTGTTCCCTAGGCACTTGCATAGCTGCCCACTGCTCCACCTGGGTGTATCTCACATGTGATGGGTTAAATGCAGAGAACTAATTTCGCTATTGTATGGGAACATACAATAATGGCAATCTCAAACTTCCCTTCAAAAAAGATACGAGGCAGGCATCAATTACATTTTACTGTGTTGCGCAAGTCGACTCTACTGAGGTGTGTTCTTCATTCAATGCACACTTTGTTTCTAAAAGTTCACTGCGCTGTGGAATGTGTTGTTCTAAAAAGTCATCAGAAGCAGTGGTAGTGTGCTCTGCCTATTTGAGTCTCTAATTGTGAATCACTGTTTCTGTTGCTTTATTTCTTGGAGTCAAACAGCAGAAACACTGAAAGACATAAATGTATGTATGCTTAAGGTTTTAGCTAATAATCCGCTATTGTATCTGATATTTATGACAAACTGCAAACACATGAAACTGACACTTTCAGGGACAACGCACCATGTGTTTTGGAGGAAAAATTAAGTTGAAGGGAGACATGCCTATGCTTTAATCTGGGGCATACGAATGTATGTATTTTAGTGTAAATATTGTTTAAATCCAAAAATTAAATCAGCAGAAACAACGTCACACTGAGAGAGACACTCAAATAAGCTGTGTGTGCTGCTGTGGCCTGAATTAATGTTTGGCACAACACATGACCCTCATCAACTTGAACATTAAATTCACTGACTTGGAGCACAACATATACAATTTGCTAAACTTCTCTCTAGTCTCGTCTTTAAAATATAATGAGTTAACTCAGTTTAGTAATTCTCAATAAATTTCTCTGTTTTAGCGATAACATACCTTTCCATTTTCCAAACGTCCATTATGTAAAGAGAAAATTAACAAATTTAGTAATAGATTTGTTGTTTTGTGCATCCCTGAAATAGGTTTGGGCTTCAAGGAGGCAGTGCAATGTCCGTTAAGCCCGCTACTTGTTCCGGCCTGCTGAAAAAATAATACATTTAGCAACATTGTACACCCCTCTGGCTGGACCCCGGATCCCCTTGGGAGGGTGCAAACTGTTCAGTTTGATGTTAATCCTTGCAGTAGTTCTCAAACTGTGGGGCGCGTTAGGCATTGGGGAAACATGCGGAACAACCTCTTGTTTGTCTAGTTACATGTTAGTAAAACGTGCAGAACAACCTCCACATCAGCAAGAAACAAATCCAAGAAGAAGCTTTAAAAAGAATCATTGATTCTGCTGGACTTTAAAGGACATTTTTAACTTATTTTTTTGTCTGTTGAACAAAAAACATGTTACGTGTTCAGTTTGCATCAGTACAGTCTCTGCCCTGCTGTAATGGCACAGGTTCATTACTTGTAATGGGAGTAGTGTTTTACAATCTTGGCTGTGTGTGGAAGTGCTAATACAATTGTAAGGCAAGTCTGTGGGTCCAGTGGTGAGACCAGGTTGGATCACTTTTGTGTCATGTTGCAGGCTAAGTTTGTGTAACTGGACCATTGTGATCATTAAGCATGTGTGTGATTTAGAGTTGGGCAGTAGTTCTACAATATTCTGGGATGTGTAAAAATAGCAATGGTAAAGCTTTAAATGTTGTTTTCATGAAATCTGCAGTGGCTTTAATAATGTTTGTGCACAATTTTTTTTAAACTCTAGTTTCTATTTTTTTATTAAGAGTGTAAACTACTTTTCTGCAATTTATATTATTGCTTTATTGCTATCTGTTTTTCTCCTACTGTTATTAACAACTAATGACTAGAAAGAATACTAGACATTCAGTCTAGAAGCCCTGCATTCTAACTTACTTGCTTCACCACAGAGTAACTTGCTCATTTTGTAGTTTGATAAAAATGACAATTACGCATTTGACATAACTATAAATTCTGTAAGCAAAATCTATCAAGACTTGTAGTGATATGGGAGAGTAAAGAGGTCTGTACCTTATTAACAGGTGTGCAATTAAAATAATAAATGTGGATCGACCTCGATTAAAATAATGATGGATTCTTGGCAATGTTGTGATCCCCTCACTTGAATTAAACACACAAAACCCGGTTGGTTAAAAATCACAGTTCTGTAACGTTTATTGTAAGTTTGAATAATAACAACGTGAAAATATGGCAGGTGTGAAATATGAATACATAACTAATAGTATTATTTCAGAAGGGTGAATAATATGAGAATAGCTTAAACTCTGAGAAGATATTTTATCTATATTTAGAACTAATGCTTAAAATAAAGGCAAGTTTCTGAGATTCATGAAGTAAACTAAAAGTGTCTAAAAAAGAACCGATTGGCACTGAGTCTAAAGTTGCCTTTCATCAGGAGGAAGATGACCTGTCTACCAAGTTGTAGATCTTGTTACCAGGTGGATATGATGCAAAAATGAACCTGTGGTTCACGCCATCCCTCTTCAGGACTGCGTTCCATTCGACCAGGCTGTGCTTGCATCATTCCAGGGTGTTAGAGAAGTTTCATGTGTGTGTGTGTGTGTGTGGAGGGGGGACTTTCTTTTGTCCAACCAGATGACCAACCCCAAGGACTGGCAGAAACCAAACCAAAGGCCAAAGACTTGAAGAAGACTGACTTTCATCCCCTGAGTTTCAGTTTTTCCTGATTCTAGAAGGGGGAGTATCTATGTAAGATCGTATCCAATCAACACAACTCTTACCAACAAAATGGGCATTAACTGAGTTGCATAAATTAGTTTTGATGAGAATTCCCCTCCTCTCAAAGTTTAGAGGGAAAATAATGACTGATTTGTTTACCCAGTAATACCTTGTTTTAAAAACACCATTTCTTCACGGATATAACATTTGGGTTTTTCACACAATATTGGTAAACAACGGGGATTCTGTTTGAAGCTCTGTCCAACTGGCAAACTACCATCATTGCCATGGTGATCACACGCCTCTTGTTGTCCTGGGGGTATGACAAAGTTCTGTCCTCCATTGGATGCAGATTACAGAGGTGTTGCCTTGTCAGGCACAGGAACAAGAGTTGATGAGCTTTGCAGGAGGTAGATCCTGTTCCTTTTGATATAGACTTTGTGGACACTCAAAGTTTATCTTTCCAGGAAGGGTGTAGATTAGCAAAGAGGTGGTGGAAGAGTTTAGTACAGTG